TTATTTATTCTGGAGGTGATTTTTTGTTTTTAAAAGCAGCTACATTTCTGGGCAGACTTGAAGAAAGTAAAACAGAGAGAAGTGTTGCATACCGGATTCCTGAGAGAACCATTTTGAGTCCAAATTTACTGCTGGTGCAGCTCCACATTGGTTCATGTTCTGAAATAGGGGAGAAACAAGGTAAATACAGTGTCTGTGACTGGTGAAGACTTTTTCTGACTTCTGGAAATCAGTGAGAGAAGCTGAGCCAACATTTCCTCGTGGAAAGATGAAATGGTCCAGGAATGGTGCATGAGGAGCAGGCTTGGTCTTTTCAGTTTCTCTCATCCTCTGTAACTTTTGCTGTAGAGGAAAACCCCCACCGTATTTTGCTCCCAAACCCCCAGCTCAGCAGCAGTAATTGCTGAGCCATCCCTAAATTTCACCTGCTTCTCCAAATCTTGAGCTAGAGCACTCTCCGAGTGCAAACTGTGGTCTCTAATCTGGGCAGCAAGGCTCCGTCACTAAGGAGAACAGAACGACCTTTTAAAAAGAAATAATTTATCTTTCTTTATTTAGATAGTAATTTTCCACGACAGCGCAAGGACTCGGGACTGCCGCAGGCTTTCTTCCACTCTGATTTCTTTGTTCAAATACCAGTCATTGAAGAGCTCACCAAGAACGGCAGTAACACACCAAATGCCACTGCTTCTCAGCCCTCCATTCACAGAAAGGTGTTCCGGCTCTTGCAAACAACTTAAAAGATTTAATTTGATCATTTACATGCTGATTGGTACTTACAATTCAAAATAGATAGGCGAGAACATGGCATGTTCCTGTAGAACATTTGGTATAATTAAACTTCAAAAGAACAACATCAAACTCGGGCTGATTTTGAGCACGATGTTACATACTTTAAGGACAGTTGATTGTTAACCCTTGCGCTCCTGCTTTCCTCTTCTCTGCTGCTCCCATTCGGTACGGCGGTGTGTTTGGTAGGAAATTCAGCACCTCTGGGAAGACCACTTCTCCTGTTACTGTGAACGCTCACAGCTGGCCTTTCAGAGGACAGAATATTTTGGGGGGAATTGCAAAAGCAGCAAAATTTGCTCTGTCTCTATACTGGTTTATGGATGGTGGTGAGTGCTCCTATGGATTATGCAAAATGCCAATTGGATGCTGAATACTACGGTCTCATCGGAGTAATTTGTTGGTGCTAATGACGGATCTGTACAGCAGCTACATTTGCTTTGTGCCGGTCTAAGTGAAGTGGATGTAAATACTGAGAGCTGATTCCGGTGACATCTGTAAGGGTGACACCAAGCCCAAGAAGTATCCCTCTGCACCCAAAAGGAAAAGCCAGGCGTGTTTTGTGTGATCAGCAGCTTATCTGCTAACGTTTTGGAATAGCTGCCTCATTTTACTGCAGAGAGAAGTAAAGCAATACCCAAAAATGATGGGATAATGTTCTAAAAGTGCCCTGGAATATTAACATGAGGTGGGAGAGTGGGTGAATGCTGTTACTTCACGCTGTAGGAGGACAGATTACAGAATTTGTCAGCAGAAAGAAGGAACGCTGCTAAAAAGTAGACTTCAACCCATTAAAAGTGGCTCGATATTTTAAATTTTGGGGAATAAATTAAGCCACTCAGATTTAGTTTCATGCCAAGTTGACAAGCAAATGGCATTTTCCTGTTTGAAAAAGAGATGAATGAAAAATATAGCTAGTTAGACCTTGAGATTTTTCTAATTGTCAGATACTCCATCTTTTGTAGTCCCAAAGGGAAGGGTTTGGTCTTCCAGGTTTTGAGTGAGCAAGAAAAAATCAGACGCTGTCATGCATGCCACACATTTTTCTATTCTACATTTCACCACGAGATGGAAGCATTACAACTGTGTTTGCAAACCCAACTGGAAATCAAGGAAACGTGAAACAAACTTCCAGGAAAGGGCCACTGAAACCCCTATGGTGCTGGTGAAACGCCTGCACGTCTTCTATTGCCAGTCTATTTGAAAAAATCTTTGGCGATGCATTCAATCAATTAAGTGCTATCAGCTGAGTGAAGAATTAAAAAATCCCTTTGGTTCAGTAGAAACACTGCTTTTCCTGCTCACTGGCTGTCTGCATACATATTTTTCTTTTTTAGCGAAGTTGGTTAGTCCTTTGCTATTAAAATATGAAGCTGTGGCAGCTCAGTTAGATTCATCTCATAATATATCAGGTGCTGGTTGGTCTTTTCCCACTGTACCAGTCACCACAAAAGAAGGTATGCATGGAAGAACACCTTTCTGTAGGTCTCTGGCTCCACCAGGCTGGGGAGGAGCCAAGAGTGCAGTTCATCTCACCCGATGGACAATCCATCTCCTTCCAAAGTTGGCGCAGACAAATCGGTACCTTCGCCAGGACAGGCACTGGTGTATGGCCAGCACCTGGCTTCAGCCAGGGTGAATCACCTCTTCTCTCTAACCTGGGTGGTTTTAGGTGCCGTGGGGGTCTACTGCACTTTAGGTGTCAGCCTTTGCTTTTACAGCAGTGCTGCGTTAGAAGCCCCTGCCAAGGAGGGGTTGCAGAGTGAATAGGGAAGGTAGAGAACAGAAGTAAGAAAAGAACAATCCTCATCCTTCCTGAGCCAACGGCGCAGGTTAAATGATTTATACCAGGCAGAGAAACCTTGGCAGGACTACGAGGTGACTTCAGATCTGAATTGTAGCCCAGAGGATTAACTCCAAGACTATCTGTTTCCAGCAGAAAGTTCGCCTTCCTCCGCCTAAGGACAAAATTCCTTCCCAAGACTGCTGCTTCCTGGAGCTGTGCATCATGCTGGCTCTGAACGCTGTCTGGATTTTGGGCTTGCCTTATTTTAGGCAAGGGTCCAACACGGAATACGCTGGCAGGGTGGTTTCTGAGACCCAGGATAGCTTTTATTTACCACTGAGCACCCAGAAAATCCTTGCACCTGTAGCCAGGCAACTTCGTTCTCTTTTCTTCTGCCAAAACACGAGTACACTCCCCCAGAAGGAGCTTATTTGGAGCTGCCTGTAAGCCATGTGCGTAAATGACATACTGCCTTTGGTAATTATGTCGGAGCCCTTTCATGGAGCATGCTCTGAGAATCGTTAAATGCCCCTGGGAATGGCTTTCCAGGGAGCCGGGCGCTGCTGCCGGAGCCGGGAAGGCATTGTTATTAAAATGGTCAATAAAAGTGCGAACAAGGGATGGAGGGCATCGGTCCTCGTTAGGGAGGGAGGAGAGCAAACTGAAACAAAACACAAAACCAGGCTGGGAGGTGTCCAGAGTTATTTTGGCAGTCTGGGTTTCTGGACCGAGGTGCCAAATCACAGCTGCACAAGAGACTTATTCCCCGTTTACACAAGCACTGAACAATTCAGGCAGCATTGTGCTACCTGATTTTTTTTATTTTTTTTTTTTTTTTCCTGGAGGGTGGAGGTTAGCACTGGAGTGAAAGGACAGGGAGCTCGTTAGTGCAAGCTTGTTACCTGTCTCCTTGGCCTGCGGCCGAGGTGGGGAGCAGCCAAGGTGAGAAACATCCCTGTCCTGGGGATGGGCTTTGCCTCCCGCACTGCCCCATCCTCCTGCCCCAGGGCTGCTCCTTCCCACCCTGTCTGCTCAGTCACTCCTGGAGAGCTCAGTCCTCTTCCACCAACTTGAAACAAGTCAGCGTTTGTAAATATTTCCTGCCATCTAGCTGGTCTATTTTTAGCAATAGTTCTTTTTGTTTTTCTTGGCAAAAGTAAAACAAATGGAAACGGAGTCCTCGGGGATTGCAAATGGCTTGTTTATGAAGCAGGAGTGTCATTAACAGACTTGCTAGCAATCTTCATAAATGCATTAAAGTACTTTTCTTCCTTAATCACAGAAGGAAGACTCCTATTCAGCGCAGGGCGACTCCAGCACGCAGCCCAGGCTGTGCCGCTCCTTCACGGGTAAGCTGGGCAGCTGGTGGGTGCCGGCCACTTTCCTACCTCCCCTGCTCACCCTGCCCCGTGCCCATGGGATGGCCCAGCAGGTGGCAGGGAGGATGTGCTGAGGTCCATGGCGTGTCTGTTGCAGGGCTGGGATTTGGGAGACAGCTAAGGCAAAGCCTCCTGCCCTCCCTACCTCGCTGCAGGGAGACCTGGGCTGTACGTTGCCCACTGGTGGCTGTAGGCAGGGCGGCAGCAGGCAGGGCAGCAGCAGGCAGGGCGGCAGGGGCATTGCTCCAGCCTGCGGGACAAAGTAGGGCTCCTTAGATGAGCATCATGAGCAATCCAGGAGAGCAGAGAGCCCTCACAGCCCCAGTGCCCCATCTCAGCCCCACCTGAGCCAAGACTCGGCGTGCGCTGGGGTGCACGGCCGGCAGTGAAGGCGCTCCAGGCAGCGGCTGGGGGCAGGTGGTGGTGCTGGGAAACAACGCAGTGAGAAATGTGTCCCAGTTCGGGTGTTTGACCTCCTTATTACCTGTGTGCTGCAAGGAGGCGCGTGAATTTAGGCAGAGTTTTCTTTTCCCCCCTGTCCAGCCAGGTAAGCATTTGACACTGGTACCGTTCTTCATATTCCACCAAGCCCTAAGGTGTTTGACAGTAATTGCAGGTCATTCTGCCTGTGGTGAAGCTAATGCATAAACTAAAACCTTATAAAAATGAATGATACTTGGAAGAATGAAGTTCACGCCCAAATGCTTTCAAAAAATTAAGTTCTTTTTTTTTTTTGGTTGCTAAGTATTTTTAAAATGCGTTTTGAGTGCCCCATTAGCAGCACTGTCTATTCTGAACATCTGTTACTGAAAGATCAGTGGCTCAAGACCTCATGTTTTTGTAAGCCCAAGCTCAGTTTCTAGATAACTGAAAACTTAGTTTTCTCACTTAAGAAAAGTGGTTTAATATGAATGAAGCCTCACACAACATGTAGCTCATCAAAACTGTAAAATGCGTCTTTCAAAATGCAGAGGACAGTGTCTTTTTAGCCTCTGAACCACAATGAGATGTTCAGTGGGAAACGGAGCACTGAGTTTTTACAATACTTGGCACAACACCTTTTAGCACAATCATGACTGTAAAAGTGATGATTGAAAAGATTCAGCGTTTGTTGATCCTGAAAGTAACGTTCCCTCCAGGTATGGGCTGAGTTAGGCTAAGGGGCTGGGTCTAACGGTAACATACAGAATATTTCTTCATTACGTATGTACTGGGAAAATATCTAAGAAGCGAGAAAGTATCATTGTTTCATTTCAATCTTTTTGCGCCCTTCTATTTCTAGTGTTTTCTTCTTTTGTAATTTTCTTCAAACAATTAACTAAAAACTCACTGAGTAAGGAGCCATAGAATAACCAGCATGTTATCTGCACAAAGGTATCTTACTGCAGGTTTGCAGGAGTAGACGGAAGAAACACAGTTGTGTGGCATTTGTGAGTTCATAATATGGACGTCTGCTGGGGATGTAGCTATTTTAATCCACAGTTTATTATAAATGTTTAAACTATGTTCTTCCTGAAGAAAAACATGAGTATAAGCAGAGCAAAGTCATAAAAAGCAGTGTTTCTGGGTGGGTTTTTTTTGCCCCAGGGAAAACGTGAGCACAACGGCGCTGACATACCCTGACGACAGGGCTGAAGGAGGCTGTAACCCTTCCATTGTGACTGCTTAAAAAATAATCACTTCATGTGGCAAAGTGAAATTTTAGGTGCTCCAGCAGGACACCGGCATCTTGAAAAGCTATTTTAAGGTGGTCACTGATGGGAATTATTGTGCTGCATAGTTGCTGGTGGGCACTGACAAAATAATGATTATATTGATCCAGACACGTAATGTATGTCAAAGTACAAAATAGGGTTTAAATTTCCATTCCCCTCCCCCCACCCCCCAGTACTGATCTTTGTCTTCTGTTCTGTAATTAAAAAGTGATCCTTGCAGTGGAATAGCTCATTCCCAATGAGCAAACGGCCACCTCTGTAGCTCTTGGTAGTTCTTTATTCCTGTTGACTCACAAAGGAGAACATTTCTCATGCAAGTTGGTGTTATTCTCTTCCTGCAGCGGGGAACGCAGAAAAGGTTCGGGAAGTGAAACAGAATCGGTCGAAGTCGGTGTGTGTCATCCCACCTCTGCAGCCCAGCGGTACGGCCTGGGGTGAGAAGAAAGGAATGGAGAAAGAGCTGACTTTGGAGATGTAAAAGCACAAGTGATGCTGCTGGTTTCCCATGAGGGATGGGACTGTTTCATGGATGGCTGCTATACATGTAGATAATGTAAATAAGATGCGTACTAAAAAAGGACTGCATGGGCAGGGCAAAATTTCCTAAGTGGTTTGCGTCAAAACATGTGCTCTTATTGCACAACACTGGGTTTTTAACGGGAACCAGGGGAAAAGATGCACAGCTGGGCACTAGCAATGCAAGGTAATGTCTAAGAGAATTTCTAAGAAATGCCTAGGAAAAATTAGTCTGTTCAGCCTAGGAAAATTGCTGAAAATGCCTGCAACTGCAAGTAAGGATGTTTTAGTAAGAAGAGATATCAGGTCTTGTTATTAGTCAGCAGGGATAAACTAACCAGCAGGGAGCATTTAGGTTATATGTTAGGAAAAACTTTGTAATCTCAAGGAGAGTTTTATTAGGTGATGGAACATGCCACCAGGAAGACAGCAGAAACACTGAAAGTTCTCTTCTGCTCCTCAGGAACTGGTGAGTCCTGACTATGAACATTAACCATGTGAAGTCCAAAGTTAAATCATATAGTTAAATAAGGTGTTGTGTCTTACCAGAGGGACTGTCCCACACCTAAACACCTAGACCAGTTCTTTTAATGAAAGCTTATTACAGCTGCAGTAAAAGGGGAAAATATATTCTTACTGATTTTTTCAAGAAATGGTTCACCTCAAGAGATAAAATGAGTAAGCTCCAAATCCAGTGGCAATACCAGGAGAAGAGCGTGTCATCCCTTAAACAGATGGGCAAGCCTTGCCCTGTGGCTGGTTGTTTGCAGCAAAGCTGCAAAGGCTCTCCAAAAAGATCTCTGCTGCCATAGCTGAGAGCTGCAGGGTCAGAGGAGGTTTGAATGTGTCTCCTTAGAAGATGCAGCAGAGAGAGGGACCCAAAACCTTGTTGCTGTGGAGCGCTTCTGCCAGGAAAGGTGCAATCTCCTTTGAAGAGCAGATGCAGGTAAACTCCAGGGGTAGTGCCTGAGGAAGACAGACATCTCCACATTTGGGTAATTTTCTTTGAAACTCCAGGTAAGTGTTCAAGCCTGTGAATTCTTGTCCTTAGCTGAACCCAACAGGCTCAGTTTTAGCATTGCAGACATCAACAGTTTTCCTTCTCTTCCCCTTCCTCTGCATGGAAGGATCCAAGAGCATTTAATCTAAATGAGTGGCCGAAGAGACTCTTTCTGAATTGAAAATAAAAGAAACTGTAAGAATTTGCACACTCCCCATCGTGATATTTTTGGACTTCCAGAGCCAATCTCCTGTGTGCAGAAATACTGCATTAGGAGGCCACTGCCTGGTACACCAGGGCTTTCATTTTAAATTAAAGACACGAAATTGTGTGTATTTGCTTCTACAATGATGTGGAGGTCTCATTTTCATTTGAACAAACTCCTTTACAATGTTCTGACATAAGCTGATGTATTTCATTTTGACTCGAAGGCCACTCTTCACTGCCCCATCACTGGAAGTTCACCACACCACAAATGAAAATTGGACCTTTTAGCCTTATATGTGTAATTTGTGTGTTTGTATACATATATGTACATATTTGCTGATTTTAGTATAGGTCCACTGTCATCTTCAGTTACTTTATTAAAAATTTGGTTTGTTTCTTAGTTTAATCCGTTTTGCGTGGGAGTCATGTGGATTTGTCTGCACTTCGTTTAGACAACTGCCCATCTTTGAAGATGTTGTAATATACATTTACTACATTTCTATCTCAATTAAACATGCTGTGTTGTGAGATCATCTAAGGGTTATTACCTCCTCTGCAACACGCTCACGACGATGTCAGTGGTAGCTGGTGGCAGGCGGGGGTGTCTCTCCGGGTGTCACCGGTCCAGCACAGCGAGCCCGGCGGACCCGCTTTGAACAGTGGCACATTCAGCTCTGCCCCACGCAGCCCTTGCTCAGTGATCACAAGATCACGAGCGATGCACGTGATTGCGAGGGGTGAGAAAAATCGTCTGTTTATTGGTGTAAGCAATTGCATACAGGTGAGAGGAAAAAAATATACTGAATCTGAAGGTCTTTGGCTCTCTGGGGTTGGAACGTGTGCTGTTTACCTGCAGTTTAATGTCCACAGTGTTTAAAATTTCTCCTCAAGTTCTGCACAGTAAATAGCTATAGAAAGATTTACTAAGATGGGTCCTTTTTATTCTGTAGCTAGAGAGCAAAAAGGAAAATAAATCAAGGTGCTTGCCAGGGAATTTTTACTTAAGTTTTTTTAATCAAAGATAGAAACTTTGAGAATCCCTTGGCTAATTGTTGCTTGGTTTTTTTCTGTGTGTTGTTTTTTTGTTTGGGTTTTTTGGGTGCATTTGTTTTGGTTTTTTTTGTAACTTCTGGCTTCTGAGTGGTCTTGCTTTTGCCTGAAATATCTGGATGTCTGTACCATCTTTGTCTTGTACAGCATCCATCATAGTTCTGGGCATTGGGCACTTAAATAATGATATTTTTCAGTTCGAGTTTCCCATCATGTAAAACGAGTTCTCTGCAATATTGTTACTGCCTGCCAAGGACCTTATCAAACAGTGCCTGTTTTGGCATGTGTAGATTTCTTTGTAATACTGTAGTAGACAACAGAAATGGTTGGGAAAATCAGGACACTTCCAGATATCTGATGTGGCAAAAAGAAAAAAAACCACCAAAATATTTTGCTTGCATTTTTTTTCAAATTGTACATTTTCATCTCACTGTAACACAACAAGAGACTTTTTTATGCCGGGATCTCCCAGCTTCTAACAATTCCAGATGTTGCTGGGCTCCAGGTGTGCGGCTCGGTGGCTCGTGGCTGCAGAGGCTGCTCCAGCCAGCACGGCATGCCTGTGCACAGGCACTGGCCTGATCCTGCGCAGATCCCAGCCCATTAATCCCTTTCAACCCTGCTTTGCGGTGCTGGGACCATAAATACCTCTCTGCTGCATTAACAATTTGCTTGATCTGCAGAGAAGACAATATTCTTCGCAGTACATACTTTCCCAATGAGTCACTCTGCCCCAAATTTAACCTTCTAGATACTATGGATTTTTTTTTTAAAGGTTCTTTACAAAATATAATAGCACAGCTAAAGCCTTCATGAAGTATTTTCCAGTTACTTAGTGGCCGAGCCCTCTGACTAGTATGTATTTCAGCCCAGAATACCTTTGATAATCTTTGCCAGTATCCAGTGTTGGTGGTCTTAAAATTCTACAACTGAGTGGAAAACTGTTAAATGCTCAGGCTTCAGAGCATGCCTAATTAATTCTTTGCAGGGTTTTAGTCCTTTAAAAAGTGTTAAAAACACGGATTCAGTGTATCATTGAATATTGCATGGTTCTGTGGAAATAAATTGCATCAGTTTGATTCCTTTAGCAGTTCAGAGAGTTATTGCTCTGTGCTCACTCTGGAAGTTTACAGGAGTCTTTTGAAAGTTAAGGTTAAAATAGGCAAAAGTTGCCAATGATGGGGAGTTGCTCAATGGCAAAGTGAGAGCCCAAAAGCTACATCTGAAAAGTCTGGGCACATAGATCAAGCAGCCGCCTTTACAACTCAGGCTATAAATCTCCCTTGCACTTGCAAGTCCAAAAAGCATTTGTGTTCAGCACGTGGACTTTTTTTTATTTTTTATTTTGACCAGAAAATCATGCTTCTGTTTAGTTTATGTCACAACTGCTTAAGGAGATCAGAATGGTTTAATCCTGGAAAGTACTGGCAACGCTTAAGAAGCAGGTGAGGCAAATAGAGCTTTTTTTTTTCTCTCCCAACATCAAGTCTGGGGGTATTCAACCTTGTAAGAAACATTAAGGATCTTTCAACGTCCAGGCTTCTGTGCTTCTTTCAAGAGACATGTAAATAGTAGAGATGAAAAAGGAGCATGTGATGGAGATGAATGAGTGATTATAATTTTAATGCAGAATTAAAGGGGCAAATGTCAATATGGATATCTATTCCTCTCCCCTCCCACACGGCTTGTACTGGGGAGTTGCTCTTTGCAAAACCATCTGGGGATGTTGGTGATATTTCCAAGGCAAAGCTGGTAGTGCTTGGGTAGCACTTGCGGTCTGGATGGCTTTGCTGTGCTTGCTTCCTTCTTGCTCTGAGGTTTGTGGAAGCAAGAGTAACGACAGATCTGTGAGAGGTACTCATCCCATCTACCTAAGGAAACGTGACGTGGAACATCTTTCAGAGCATGACAGATTGTCAGGGTAAGCTCTAATGCAGAAAGGTATGTGGATCTCCAAAGGGACTCGGGGAAGTCACTGAAAGCAGACCTGAAGTCATGTCTGTTTATAAAATAGAAAAAAATCCCCTGCTTTCAGCATGAGAGAGTGAAAATATGTTGATCTATCTAGCTAGTACGTAATTTTTCAGCAAGCATGGATCAAAACACAAAAAATGCCGATAACTCAGACCATGCTGATGGAGTCTTGGATCAATCAACAGGTAAAACCCTGATTCTGGGAAAAATCCAAGCTGAGTAGCCCCAGCTCCTTGCTAGAGTATGCGTGTTTTGGACACTCACAATTTCAGTTTAAAAGCTTAAGGGCAAAAAAATCATCAGGGTCAATTAGGAAATAAGGGTCATTAAAATGCCCAGGATACGACTTCCCTTTCCTTACAACTAGGTTCTAGTGGTGTTGGTGGTGGCACCCTCATTTGACCTCTCTGGATAAGAGGAACCTGAAGGCAGCTTCCCGCTGGCACCAGAAGAGGTAAGGGAGGAAAGAGACACTTTCCTTGGTAATTAAATGGTATTTTTGTCAGACAATCACATGGGTCATGTTGATGCTCAGTTAATACACCTACCTAGCTGTGGTGTAACACTCCAGAGATCCCAACTCAAGCTACAAAGGACAATCAATACCATCACCAGTTTCTATAGGCTTAGAAAGTGTGGCAGGACACTACTTTTTCGGTTTTGTTTTTTTGTGGGTTTTTTTTTTTTTTTAGGATGGGGTTCCTAAGGCTGTTGCTATAGTGTTCCAGGGGTGTTAGATTAATTCAGGTACCAGCTAGTGATGAGAGGAGACTGTAGACTAGTTTGGGATGATGGTGCCCCTCTCCACACAAACACGCCTCCAGAGGAGCTCCTGGTCTGCCTAACGCCCGTGTATAAGGTAACCTCTTTGACATGTGGAGGCTTGCTTTGTAGGAGGAAACAAGTGTGGTCCTAATCGTTGTTCAGGCCAGCCAAGAGCTGCATCGCCTTCTGGAGGTGCCTCTCAGACCTCATGCTGAGGGGTGGGATGGACTGGGCAGAGCATCTACAGGACGTGGGGCCAGTGGGGTGAGCATTGGTACCAGTCTTGCTGTTCCTGGCTGGGAAATTGTTTCTTTCCTTCTCTAAATTAAAGATCATCTCTGCTGGAAGAGTAAAATCGGAGCTCCTTGAGCCCTCGGTGAGGCTGAGAACCGGAGGGTGAAATCCAGTTATGTTAGGGAAATTGCGAATCTACTATCGATTTCAGGATTTATCCTACAGTACTTTTGCATAACAAAAGGACTTTTATTCCTGTTTTCTCCACATAAGGTTTTCATCCTTATGGCCCCATTTGCGTGCTCTTTATAGGCCTGCCAATAGCAAGTGCTGGATGTTGGATGTTAGTGGAGTGGCCCCAGCTCTGCAGTCTGACCCCCAACACTCTCTACAGCATTCTACACAGGGGCAACATTTCCACCCAGAGTCTAGATGCAAAGGCAACGTCCTAAAGCAGCCCAAGGAAAATAAGATGAAAACATATGGATTAGTTGATAATAATCTAAAAAATCTTTTATTAAAATTTTACTTCAATTTATATATTTAATAATTGTTTTCATTTCTTTGATGGATATCAAAAGGTGTTTTGATCTCCAGAATGGAAAATTTTCTTTGAAAATGTTGAAATTAAACATTCAAAATTAAGAAACACCTTTTTTGAAATTTTTCCAGAGGCACTCACTTATCCCAGCCCTTCCTCAAAAATGATTTGTTTTTTAAACCCCACATTTTCTGATTAGTTAATCAGAAAATCCCCAGCACTTTCTAACTGCAGAGGAAGGGAGGGGGGCTGGAATGATTTATTGGAGGCTTTCTTGCCATTTCTTCTTTATTTTTTCCCCTCTCTTTTCTTCTAGTATGTTTGTGTCCTGTCTATTAACAAGGCTGTCCATTGCATTGTATAAAATCTTTATGAACAAAATACTTGCACAAAAGGAAACCAGATAGCTAATTTACACCGTGAAACCATAATGGGTCGGAATCTTAAATTTGATAAAGATGTTATTTCTGAAGAGTAAAGGAACTATTTTTTTCTATTAGTCTAGTTTGTAAGACTAAAAAGACTTATGAAAAAATGTTCCTATTATAAGAATTTTAATTTCATCTATTTTTTTTTTGCCAAGCAACAGGGAAATAGGGAAGCAAGGGGGCTGCAGAGGGCTGAGCGGGGCTGAAGGGGTTTGCTCCTCTGGCAGCCCCTACAGCTTGCTGACATGAGGTGCTTCACCTTCTGGTCTGGCTGGGCGCAATGGGGTGGATGCCAAATTAAAAAAAATAATCAAGCTGAACAGAAGGAAACATAAGGGGGCTGTAGGCCCTCTCATGCGTTAGCCATCCCCGGCAAGCCTGGGTGCTCCCACCAGGTGCTACTGGAGCAGCTGCCCCATCCCTGTCCCCATGCTGCAGCTGCCCAGGCACGGTCTCATTGTCCACCATGTCCAGGAATTTTTCAGATCCTAATGGTGACTAGCACGTGCGTGGGGTTGTGCCAAGGAGAAGGGAAAGCTCGTTGCATGGACAGTCGTTTTGACCTTGCAAACTCAATTCCTATTCCACAGCCTAAGAATTTGGAAAATGTTTGGCTGGGGACATAGCATCCCATAAGGAGCCAAGGCTGGGCACCAGCACTGCTCTGCCGCAGCCACACAGGGGTTTTTCTGCCAATGAGACCGAGAATTGCTGAGGACACCTTCCAAATGGCAAACAGCGCTAACTTGTGAGTATGCATTAGCATAAATTCAGCAACGCCAAATACAGCTGACTAAAAAGCATATACATAAATGTGGGAGTGTGCATTAATCCCTTTTTTTTTTTAAATACAAAGTGCCCACTTTGCATTTTAATTTTATGTAATTGCAATGCAATCTGCAGAAAAAAAATCCTCACTTCTAGTGTGCAAACCCATGTCTTCACCGAGCTCCTTCAAGCATTGCCAAAGCTCCCCCATCAGTCGTGTTCAGCTTTGAGATATAGATCACAAGAATAGATGGCAACCAATTTTCCTTGTCCCTTCAGACAGGTTTAACCAGTATTACATGTTAGTTAAATGGCAACTGATTGAAATTACACTTATTGAAGATTAATTAGGTGATAGATATATTGCACTTTGTATTTAATCAACCATTTTATGTTCAATACAAAGAGGTCATCTCATTGCAGCAATCATTGCCCATGAAGTAACAAGATGACTGTGAGATGGGTGTGTTATTGCCATACAAAACTACGGAAAAAGAGTGGATATGTTGGGCTGCCCAGGAATGCGCTGGGAGAGGGTTAATACATGTAGGTATGGGACGAGAGAAGGTGGTGGGAGGGTTGGCCAGAAGCACCTACGTGCAAACCCATCACAGTAGCAAGGATTGCTTCCAGCAGAGATGGCAGCTAAACACAGGAGGGTGACTAAGTGGCCAGGGAGGGACAGTGTGTGTTTGTTCATGCCGAATTACAGGGCTGAGGAGGGCTCGTTTCCCAGGTGGCACTGCCAAGAGAGCACAGGAGGAGTGGACAATCCCCATGGGCATGCCAAGGGTTTTGGTGGGAGGCTGTATCATATCAGAATGATTTCTCCTCTCCCTTAGCTAACTAAATAGTTTGCTTGGAAGAAAAGGGACGTTTAAGCAGGCCAGAGACATGATGTATATTTTTACTTCCCTGAAAATGACCTTTGTACTGCAGCTCTCCCATCAGATGTATGTCCACTGCTCCCTGTCTGAAGCCCACGCAATGAGATTTCTACCTGCCGAGAGCAGCGTTCAGCCCTGCCATGAGGACTTTCATCCTGTTATACAAACATTAGAAGTCATTATTCCATTTTTGTGACCAAACAAGATGTAATCCTAACCTTTGAGACAACCCGCAGGCCATGCCCTGCAGCTCGCTGTTGCCTTGCTCGCCCACCAGCTTCCCCACCATGCCAGATGCAACATCTTCTGCCCTCCTTGCGTTCTTGCCCCTTGCAGCCCCACTCTGGCTCTGACTAATGGGGCTGTGGGGACTGTGGCTGAGTTTCAACGCTGTGTGATGGTAAGTCTGCAACCTGTCCGACTTTTCCTTTCTTCACGTATCAGTGTGGGGACTCCTCTGGGCAGGGACCTCTTTCCTGGATCCTATCGGATGCCTCACGTGCTCGCGCTCAGGTTAAACAAACAGCAGCTCTGCCCCTGTGACAGTGAGAATGAGAGGTCTTATCCCAGCCTGCAATATTTAAGAATGAACAAGTAGAGGATAGAAAAAATTATTATAATTTAAAGTCTATTGTGCTCATAGAAGAAGAATGAGCACATTCATCAGTTGATATGCCTCAACAGTTGGCTAGAAGTGTAGTCAAAATTTTACCCAGTTTCCCTAACCAGTGTGTGATTTCTCTGAGATACCCATATGTCACAGTTAACTTTAACTATTAAATTCATTCGGAAATTAATTTGGTCTCACAGAATCCTGTAGGATAAGGAAGTCAGCATCTTCATCTATCCCACTTTTTAGAACAGGTCATGACTTAGGCTAAGGTTAGAAAACCAGAACTGGAATTTTCACTGTAATTTAAATTTCCTCCTCCAGCCTCCTGGCATGTCACAGGAATGCAGTTATTGCCCGACAGAAATTATAATTTTCCTAGTCTGGCATCCCATTCCTGGCAGTGATCTACAGCAGATGCTCCAGCAGAAGACTAAAACATTAGGAACTAAATGGCAGCGAAATTCCATGCGGGATTGTCCTTCTCCCTGTGAGGCAGTTCTTCTACAGCAGGCTTGGGTGGTGGGAGGGGTATGGATGCTATATAGTCCGCTCTTCTGTGGCAGGAGAGAGAACATCCTTCTACAGCTGCATAGCAAGACACTCTACGTATATTGGTATGTACATCCGATTTTAATGCTCCTTGTCTAGCTAGATGTGGACCTGCCTGATTCAAACGTGTTTACATGGATTGATTGCATTACTTCTGAGAGCATCAAGATTTTAAAAGATATTTAAGAGACATCACCAATATTTTAATGTTATTGCTTGGATCTCCGGGGTCACTTTGTGTGAAAGCTGCATTAGTGTTTTACTCAGAGGAAGCAGGAGCTGAAGGAGATGCATGTTCCAGAAGTGCCACTTGGGAGGACACAGCCAAAGGTATCTCACAGCTATGGCTGCAGACGCCATGACGTGGTAAAGATCTTTGAGTTCAGATCTGCTCAAGCCATACACAGCCTTTCTGCTAATCTCATGGGGTTTTGAAAACTCTCGAGTGTCCTGGGCAGTTCTGCATCGTAACCACTTGTGACCTACAGACACTGCCTGACCAGCCAAGGCTATGGGCTCTCCACAGCACTCTTCTGAAATAAGCTGCCATGTGTTTATTTGGAAACCTTCCTGCTCTGTCTCAATAGCTATTTGTCATGTTCCTTAATGCCACAGCTGTTTGGTTACACCAGGTCATCTGCTTTTATTAGTCCTGTTCCTACCACCCACTGAAACTCACACCAGCCAGGAGAAGATTTTTATCCGTGTCCAAAAATAGCACTTCTCTTGTCCCCCTCTTCCAGTGACCCTGGAAACTTCAGTGTTTTTCTTCTTTTCTGATTTCCGATTTTGCTGCCTACCTGCTGCCCCATGAAGGCTGGAGTGGCGGCTCTCGCAGCCGGGATCCTCGGCAGCACTGGCGTGTTGCTCTTTCTCATCGCTTTTGGGACAGATTACTGGCTCCTAGCTACGGAGACCTGTGGCATCTTCGAGGATGGGAATAGCACTCTGCAGACCGGGGAGGTAAACTCTGAAATCTTGTCTTAGTTTGGAAGAATTGTCTTATTAAAATAATTTAAATTTTAAATTTTTCAAGTTTTAAATCTGCTATTTATATTTTAATATTTTTATATACAATATATTATATTTATATTTATATTATAATATTATATATGATAATATTTTATATTTACGCTCATTGAAAGTGACCTGCTAATGTAAAATATCAGCCTGAGCTAACTTTAAAATCCAAACCAGCTTTTGCATAGTATCTAGCATTTTGACTGAAGTAAAGTGTGTCTAGGCAACATTAAGACAGCACCTCTGTAATCTGGCAGGTATGAACATTAGGGAATGAAAGGCAAAAATGTAAGAGCTTTATTTGTTGACAGCATTTGCCTCTAAAGACAAAAGATATCTCCTGATATTTGCCATTAAAAGATTTTTCCCTCTGTAGTTTCTTCATTTAAAAATAGTTCATATTTTTAAAGTGTAGGACTTGGCAATCATTTACATCTGAAGTGATATGACTACAGCACAGACAGAAAACAAAAGCGAACATCAGACGCAGAAGAGAGTAGACAAGAATTTCTGCCCGTCTAACAAGAAGAGGGCTATATGTTTTAAAACTAAGATCTATATAGGATTTTAATTAGCAGGAAATGTAATTTTCAAAGGACAATTTGGTATTTTAGTGCTGACTCTGGTATCGCTTGTTTATAGATCCTTTCAAAAGTTTGATTTTAGCTGTCCTTGCTGTTGTCTAGCTCTTCAATGGAATAATAACCAGATCAGTTCCTTGAGCCACCCACTCTTCAAAAATGTTTTTGTGCCGATCAATGTGGGGTTTCAATTACAAAATGACAGGAAGATCCTTGTTGTGTGCAGACTTTTTGTTACTTCAAAGTTCAATCCAATTAGGTTTGATCTTTTTTTTTTCCCCTCGGTGTGGTGAGTCACACTGGGTAAGCACCATGATGCCAGCAAGAAATACTTTCTTTCATTTCAGAATCCCGTAATCATATGTAGGACACTGTTTGCTTGAGTCATCTTTCCAAATGACTTTCTCTGTTGAAAAAAAAAAAAAAAATGATGGAAAAAGTGCCTGGCAGAAGACACTGTCTTTAATGTTTAAAGCAGCGCAGTGAAGCCCCGGAGACGGCAGTGTCACGGACAGAGGAGTGTCGCTCAGTTTTTGTGCACTTGGGGAATGACAATGTTAATTGTTTTTGTTTGTGCTGTTGTCTTTTAAAGTGGAGAGACTAGAGACGTTGCACTGCATGACAGGAATAAGCATCTCAAACATTTCAGATACGCTCTTGGCCAAACGTTCGTGTGCCTGTCACCAAGGCAGAGGGACTTCAAAAGCGCCAGGCAGAAACAGGAACTTCTCTTACTCTTTCCTCTGAGCTATTTTATTTCTATTTCAGACACAGTTTCTATTATTTCTATTTCAGTCACCAGTTGTGTACAACACGCTGTGTTTTTACCTTCTCTGCCCTTTCTTAAACTGGCAAATCCTGTCCCTTACAGATAAGGATGGTCTCGAGTATCTGCCAAACAGCAATTAAATGTGCTGCAGATGCACTGTCAGCAGCCATCCAGCTGATGAAGTTTGAGGGCTGCATGTTACCACTGTCATAGTTATTTTTTTATCCTGAGAGTAAAAGGAGATTCAGGTCAAAGCTCTGGAAGAGGTCATAACTTGATGCATAAAAACCTCGAGGGGAGGGAAGTATCTTCTAGCACATCCCTGTTGAGTCCCACCTCCTTTCTCCAGCTCACAGGGTCCAATCCTGTGTGAAGTTTCTCCATCCTCCACAAAATATAACTTTATAACAGTTATGTCTGCTTTACCAAATTGTATGTGATAAAGGCAAATTGATTTTGGCCATAGTTTTAATAAGTCTTTTGGTAAATAGTCCATGACTCAAATTTGCAATATCCTTCAGCTGCTTCCATGTTCCCCAGACCCCCCAAAACCAACTCAAACAACAACAAATGAAAACTCCAACAAAAAAATGAAAGCAACAACTGTCTAAGCAAAATATACACACTTTCCACCACGATCATCCCCATATCAGCTTGGGCTTTCATTCCTCTACAGGCTGAAACACTGACAGAGGTCAGGAAGGAGATCCTCACTTTCCATCACGAGGGCTTCTTCTGGCGGTGCTGGTTCTTTGGCGAGGGTCACCCGGAGACCATCTGGACCTTCTGGTACAGTGAGTATGATGCTGCTGCACCACGTTCTCAGCATTCGCTCACAGTTTGCATTGCAAACAAGCACAACAAGGGCTCCCAGGGATGAGGAGACAGTTGTCTGCTTTATTTCATACTTTTTCATTCTCATCGTCTCTCTATCAAAAGCAAACTTGGCTCACCCTTTCAGTGCTCTTTTTTTGACTTGGATTTTCCTCTCAGAGGGTTGTTCACAGAAATGTAGGAACCTCTTGATGCCATTTAATATATCACCTACAAAGTCTTATGGAGCGGTGGCTTCCACCAGCATGGATAACTCTCCCCCCTTATCTCTTGATGTTTGTGTTCAGCTAAGGTCTGCTAAACTTGAGCCCATGCATTGCTCTTCTGTTCGTGTTTTCAGCCATCAGGGTGTTCCCACCTCCCACCGATTTCAGCACGGGGAAGGCTGGATGCGCTGGGGTGTGGTGTCCCTGGGTGCTCAGGACATCTAGCAGAGGGCAGTGGTGGGCCAGAGAGACCTGTAACCAGATGTGTTTATGCTCTTAAGCAAACAAGACTTTATTTTAAGATCTTGCCTGTTTGGCTTTTTAAGGTCATTGAAATTACACTTGTGAATAAACAGAGATGGATGCAAAATATTATTTTTTTTTCTGCAAGCACATTCACTCCTCAAAAAAAAAATTGAAGGAGAAGGTGAAACCTGTTCTGAGAGACCAGTTGGTGCTGACTGGTGGCCCATGTGCAGTGAAGTGTGGGGTCTTGGCCCAGTGAACCAGGTGGTCCCACCAGAAAGAGCAAAGGAGTGAGACCACCCCACAACACGCCTGGCTCCAGCCCTGCTGGCAGCTAAGCCAGCAACCGGCTTGCCTGCATTAGTGCACAGTGGGTGATTAGAGGACAGCCTTTCCCTGGGATGCCACAACCCTAGAGAAGTATTTGGGATAAAAGAAAGAGATTTTTAAATAAGTTCTACGAAGGTTTTAAACACTGCAAGAACCTTGACCCTGCACTTGCTGCTGCTTCGGTCCCCTCAAAGATGCTTACGTGTTTGTGGAGCAGCGTGATCACCTCGCGGAGCATTTGGCTGCAAATAATGCAGGTTCCCACAATAAATTTACTCTGTAGTGATTAAAATTGCGGATGACTCTGCTGCCCCCCTGCTCCTGACCTGTGACTCCTGTAAAATCTTGCAGGAACAGTTGCTGCTACCATTCAACTGAACGATGAGAGATTTTTCACACAGAAATTTTTTGATAAAAAAGAACAGGCTTGAGAGAGGGAGTTTGCTATCTAATTACATTATATAGTAATACATGATATAATATAACGTTACCTCAAGTAAAATGACTCTTTCTGATAACTGGCAAATTTGTATTACTTCTTTAGGTATTTATTATAATAGGATTGATCATGGCAAATTAATTTGCTGCTCTCATGGACGTAATAATTAATTCAATAGGTATTCCATAGTCAATTTAGCATGAACTAATGTCCACCTATTATAAAGTGTTCCTTTGAGCTGGGGAACATATTTAAATAAGTGGCCAACCATTAATTAATTCATTTAACATTCATTCTATTACCGTTAATCATGATAAGCCTCAGTGGTATTAATATTGATGGGGCACTTCCATTCTAATTGTGCTTTCCCTTCTCACAAACTGGAGGTCTTGTAAGGTAGCTTACTCTGGTACCCAAATACCTTTGCCCCTTCCAGGCAGCTGGACACATTTTCTGGAGGAAAACCTCAATGGGAATATTTACACTGATTTGAGTTGCTCCATCTTTCATGATTTATGCCCACCTCAGAGTCAGGTTATGAAGATGTGAAGATGTATGGGTAGCAGTCTCAGATCCTGTTATATCTCCCCTCTCTCATCATTCTTCTTTTTCTTTTTTCTTTCTAACCAGGATTTACTGTCCTTCTTTACTCCCCAGCCTTCTGATTTCAGTGAGGGTTTTGTAGGTTTTGCAGAATAGTACATTGCTGTCTGAATACTGTAACTGTGATTTTGCAGAAAACAAAAGCAAACGGGGATTTCTGTTGTTCTTTTTCAGCCAGCCAAGCGCATCCCAAGTTCTGCATGCATGGCTACCTCTTTCCCATGCCCATTGCTCCTGGACCTTTCCCTCATCCTTCGTATGACACAACCGCAGGTGAGTTTCTTTCCTGCTGCCCCAGCAGCTACTTTCCTAAGCGATCGGGCAGAGATTTACGATGCGTGTAAGTGCTGTGGTTCTCACGTTGTAAATGCACGTGGCCAAGCATGACCAAGACTTTCGGAAAGCTCCTTTACAAAATGGCTTTGCTTAGGTGTTCTCCCATGTCTTCTCTCCTCTGGAGCCAGCCATGCCCAGCCATGAGCCATGCACCCTCCTGCTGGGTGCTCAGCTCCTGCTTCTATGAGCAAGGGAGAATGCTAAATCCTCTCTCTCCCACCTCCTCGCGTGCTGGGAGGAGCTGGAGGCAAAGGGCTTCAGCCCCATGGCCAAATCCAGACCCTGCAGGCAAGCAAGAAAAATAACTTCTGCTGGGCTGCAGGCTTGTGGCAGCCCAGTGCTGACTCGTTTCCAGAGTCTGACTTCCTAGGAGAGCTCTGGTGTTGATTTGTTGCAAGATAAAATAAACAAACACTGGAAAATCAGTTAAAGACCAAATTGTTAGAAGATCCACGTAAGTGACTGGCTTATTTTTAATACACTGAATACGGCACAGTTGGAGGGCTCTCCTTTCAACTGATTCCCTTTTTATTTATGTTTCTCTATATTTTCAGAGTTCTTTAATGAATCAGCTGCTGTTAGGAATTTTAATTTGCTAAATTGGTGGCAGCAGCTAGAATTAATTCAATGATCTTTTTTGAAATGAATTGATTTCTTTAAATAGTGTGCATCACTCTGCGTTGCCTCTGGGGATCCGGGGCAGGCATACTGCACAAACAAACATCTTGACCTTTTCCTTAGCCTTTAGCAGTACCTTTTTTATTTTTATTATTTTTTTTTTTTTTTTACGAGGAATTAATTAAAACCCCCACATTTGTCAGTAGAGGCATGTGAAGCAGAGCAGCTAGTTTCTTTTGCTGTGCTGTGCAAGATTTCTGCCTCGGGCAACACGCCGTAGTGCAAAATGGATATGAGGGACCTGTCGATGGTCGAAAGAGGAGCCCGTCACAGGCTGTGTGCAGCCAGCATGCGGGTCAAGCGGTGGGATTTTTTCTGCTTAGGAGAGGCAGGCATGGCGTCTAGTTTCTGAATGATCTCGCTGATGAACACACTATTTTTTCTGTACTAAATAAAGGGCCCTGGAGGCATCTGTCCCTGCCTATCAGCCCTTGCTATGAAACCCTCTCCAGCTGCCTCCCAGCAATGCCCGTTGGGACGGGTCCCGGGAGGGTGCTGAGGACCGGCTCTGCGCAGGGGCTGCACCCCGGGGTGCTGCGGGGGTCTGTCAGCACCCACCCTGCTACCATCCCCCGGGTGATGAGGGTGTCTCTGCACCCCCATTTGGGGCAGCCAGAGCACTTGGCTCCTCTGCTGCATCAACCCCACTGCAAAGCATTCAGACATCTGCAGAGAGCAGACGCTCCCGTCGTTAACACTCATTTTATTTAGAACAGTCCATCCTCATATGCAAATGATGACAAAACAGGAGGCCGTCCAAGAAGAGGGGTCCTCCAGCTATTACCTGCTCCAGAGATAATTCTGCCTTATCTGCATCCTCTTAGGCTCCCTGAGAGAGACGGGTGACGGGAGGTTAAACATGAAAATGAATTCTGTGGTTTTGGAGAGTTCAAGATACTTATCTCTCCCTAAGTGGCTCTCCTGACAAAATGGTTTCAAATGAGTAAAACGCATCTTCTCTGTATCATTTTTCTTTCAAGTGTGAATCATTTCAGCATTACCCACTTGCTCGTGCTCGGCTTAAATCTGTCTAACTAGGGCTTTGGAAAAACAAGAGGGAGAGCGAGATGCAGCGGTCTGAGGGGATCAGCTAAATCAGGGGGACGGGGGGCAGGGTATCAGAGGGTCTCTGCCTGAAGACCATCACCTTTGGCCAAGGTTTACGGCAGTGACTGGAAGAGACTTGGCTACTGGGAGATTGAAATTAGCAGGCTATGTCCCATCCCATGGGATGTGATGGACCCAAGCATGCTTGGTTCTGGCTGGTGTGGTTGTATGAAGTCGTAGCAAAACCCTCAAATTCAGGGGATGAAGAGGCAGCTGTTCTCTTGTCCTGTTCCCTTACATGGAGTCAAGCAAGGGCATTAATAGGGGAAATCATGAGCTCCCATTTTCTCTGCAGTCCTGCTAACAAAAGCCACCTTTATTTTAAACCAGGAACCTGGCACCTTCCATAAGTGTTAATTAAAATGGCACAAAGATGTGGTCTGATTCCATCTCTCCCAATTTTGCTATTTTCTTTCCTTCCTTGCCAATCTCTTCCATCCCCCACAGGCACAGCGAGGCACGGTGTCCTTTACTCTTGCCCCTTTTTGTGGAGAGCTGCCCTGGCAAACCCTTCCAACCCCTTGTACTCATTCCAACCCCATTATGTAGGGTATGACATTCAACCCGGACTTGCACCAGTTCCAGGCACGCTGTGCCCATGCTGCGGCAGGGAGTTAGCAAAGCAGGAGCTCCAGCTCTGCCGAGCACGAGCAGCATCACAGGTTATTGCTTTTACTGTTGCTGAAGCAGGAATTAAGCACAGATTGAAGAAAACTGCTTTTTCGCTCCTTTCCCCTGACTTTACTCTTTTTGACCGTGCAGTGTACAGAGGCTTCTGGACGGCGTTCATCATGCTGGCCGTGGCCGCCGCGCTGGTGGGAGGGCTGCTGCTGGTGTGCGGTGTGCCCTTCGTCAGCCCCCGCTCCTACAAAGTCGGGGGCGGATTCCTCCTCACCTCGGGTAAGCGGCGGTAAGGGGACACGGCCGAGGCAGGGATGCAGCGTGCCGGGGGAGGGCAGCCGGGGGTGAGGCTCCGCTGGGGGAGATGGGGGCTCTGATGGGGGAGATAGGGGCTCTGATGGGAGCTGCACTGACTTCGAGTAAATGATTTCCCTCTTCTCCCGCTGGAATTAAACCTCTCTGCTCAGACAAGTTTAGCAAGATAGTCCTTAGTCCAAATGGGGCTGAGGTTTGGGATTTTTAATTTTTTTTTCTCTATTCTTCCATGCAACCAAGAGGAACATGGCATAAAATACTTTTATTTTAGTGAAGTCCGTAGCTGCGTTAACCCTGGGCAGCAATCAGCCATGCTCTAGTCCCCTAAGTCAGTCTTTGCATTTGGGCCTCTCCTGTCTCTGCGGTTAACATCTGGTAGAGCTGGAAACCTACTGAGCGATGAAAGGCATACCCGGCGATTCGGAATGGGAGAGCTGGCTTAATAAAACCTGAAAAGATAAAGCAATGGCACAGCAGGAAAATGAATTAAAAAATAGGCATTTATTCATTATTCCCACTACCATTATAAATGATTCCACTGAATTATCACTTGGGCTCTTTCCTTTGCTGTATTTGACAAGGAATAACTGGCTTAACTAGTAGAAATACTTGATTTATAACAGTGATTCAAACTCAGAAAAAAGCCTTTTTTGCAACTCAAGCAGCTAAAGGCTGGAGCTTAGCTGAGCCATGCCAAGCGAAGAACTTTGTTATGAAGTCAGGCCTTTCTGTGAAAAACCGCTGCTTTATTATGGATCCTGCACCAGGTCCTTCTTCCTCATACATGGCATGAATCAAACATGAGCCAGTGTCTTTGCTCCCAGTTTGGGTTTCCAGTGTGCCCAAGTTTTTTGGGGCTGAAAACATTCATGAAAATATTTAACAAGGAAGGTCCCAACATCAACCTTGGAGGAACTCCACCTACACTCCTTCCAATCTTGTCATGCCCTGCTATTTTACCCTTTCCCCTCATTATTTAGCTCCATATCAATTTTATAGCTCCTCTCCTAATTTCTGTCTCCTCCAGATGTACTAATAATTAACCATGTGATGCCAGCTGAGCTGCTTGTTAAAATGAAGCTAGATGACATCTATCTCTTTGTCTAAAAAATCCGTGAGGCACTAAATCAGAGTGGCCCTACCTGCCTCTGCTAATTCGCTTTGCATTTTGTCCAATTTTCTATTTGCCTCCAGGTCTTCAGTTATTGAGGTGAGGCCAGCAAGCCTGTGGGTATCAGTTTATCTCTCTCTTATATAGTTTAATAAGTGCTTGGTTGGGCTTAATTTTTCTAAAGTTAAATTTCATGTGGTTTTACACACATGGATTTCATTTGGGAAAGCAAGAAGTCCTGCTATTGGATCTCCATCAGGTACCAATGCCTTCTACTGAGTAGTGTTGCCCACTTGACTTGTGCGTGTGTTGGAGTCATCTCTTCTTGTGAAACTAGGGCTGCCTATTTGAATCCTCTCAGATGTGATGTTCTGGGTGCGTCAGTTAAATCCCTACTTCTTCAAAACACTCAACTTTCAGCCCAAATGCAAAACTGAGATCAATCACCTTCTGACACTGACCAGACAAACAAAATACCACACAGAGAAAGGTGGCGAGTAATATTGAATCACTGTGTTGCATTTTTTTAATTGTTTTTGCCCTTTATTTGACTACTTCTTGATTAAAAAGCTGGGGCATAGAATTTCACACTTTTTAGGAGAGCTGATTATGCATCACATAAACCTCATGGCATTAGACAAAGATGCTGCTGCTTAAATTGAAGTTTGTATTAAAGCAGTTTCAATCTGAACTGCCATCATTGTTATTAACTGTCATTAGGAGGAACGAGTTCAACTGGAAGAGAATTCCTGCTAAATTTTCAATCTAAATGATAGCTAGGAGAATGCAATATTGTTTCAGTATTTTCAGCAAAGTTTGCTTAGAGGTTCAGCTGATGCTATTTTTTTTCGGGAGGGTTATCCTGAACTCAGACCTCTGGATCCTGCTTGGCACTGGCTTCCTAAGGGATTTGGGTTGCAGCACTTTGTGGTTATTTTCTCGCTATCCCTTTTGAAAATATTGTGCATGATTGTGCTAAGCAGTAGCAACAATAGATTTAATACAGCTTCAACTCCCTGGCTGTCCCTTTCCTTCAGATAGAGGGATGCAGGAGAAAGCGCATCTTGTCTTCTAATCATGGCCTGCCGGGTCAGTGTTAATTAACCTCCCTTGCAGAAATGATGTCTCCTTGAGGAAGTGTGAAAATGCTGGCAATTTGTAGAGTGGGAACGTGGTCTGGCAGTCGGATGGTGAGGTGGGGCACCACGGCTGCAAGATGCCCCAGCCTCTCTGGGCATCCTTTATACGCAACTTTATTCTGTCTATAAACTCCCTCTGCCCCTTTTGGTAGCCACCCATGCTGAGGTCATGAAATCACAGCTATGGTTAATCATTGCAACAGAGTGCAACGTTTGCCACCGAAAGGCTCTAAAGATATTCCCGGTACAAATGCACTCCCAAGCGTGTTTATGACTAACCCGCCTAATGTGATCTTGAGGAGTTACGTGTGCCCCTCTGTCGCCAGGGGGAATTCTGTGCCAAAGAGTGAAGGTTCTTATTGCTCAATTAGATCTCTTTGGGTTTCCTCTCCGAGATGCCTTTTATTTACTGTACTTTCAAGAAGACAAATCCAACTCTCTGCCAGCTATCGTAACAAATGCAGTGCTCAGTGGGTGGCATTTCTGAGAGCCCTTTCAAAGGACCGGAGCCATCCCCCTTGATTTCCTCTGCTGGGTGACTCGGGAAATACAGCCGGAGCCCATCTGACATTTGCTGCTGCCTGTGTTTGCACACCTACCGCCCCAGCTGGGCAGTTATCCTTGCCAGCCGGCTCCCAAAGTGCCCGAATTGCATGAGCAAAGAGCTGGCGTGCTGTTTTCCTTCCAACATTTGCCGTCTCAGACTTAGCTTCAGTGCTTGCAAGGGGGAGGCAGATACTGTGTGGTGACTAATTGCCCCCCTGTTTCAATAGTCAGATGACAATATGATTAATTATCACTACAATGTCACCGAGAGGGCTGGGTGAACGCTGCACTGCAGCTTCTGGAAACTGAATTGCTGAGACAACTTTGCTTGTGCTCCTCAGTTTTCTGTACTTGTGCTCCTCGGTTTTCATTTCCTTTGGGCTTTTCAGAGACCAAGCTTAGAAGCGAGCACAGGCTTCCTCCAGACCTAGGGTAACTGCTGAGCTTGCAGCGCTGCCCTAATACGTCAGGACCAGCTGCATAGCTGTAGGCTTAAGTGAAAAAGTGACCTGAGCTTTACTTGGTGGCTTGCTGTGGGGTCGGGAGGCTGCTCTGGAGGGAATGCGCAGGTAAAGCACGAGTGTACGGTGAGTTTTCAAAGCGAGCAATAAGGATGTGTCCCAGGTAACGTTAAACAACCTAGAGAAGCTTGTTATCAGCTTGCCGTACACTGGGAAGCACAAATACGTGATGAACCACATACGGTCTAGACTTCTTCCAGCCGCTGTGGTCCTGGTGCTGCCTCTCCAGCATCCCCAGTTGTGTGGCACGCACGGGTGTGCTCGCAGTGCCCTGCAGTCACAGGGTCCTTGTGGCCGTGGGCCGTTTCCAGTGGACAAAGGCAACAAAAAGCCTCTCCTTCGCTTTCAGAGCTGTGTCGTGGTGCTGCGAGAGAAGCACAATGTGTGCTCAGACCAACCTGTTCTTCAGCCTGAGCCTACTGCATTTAAAAAAGGGGCAGTTTTGCCAGTCCTATGAGTTAAAGTGCTGAATTTTATGCTCGGATTCCTCTTCCTAAATCATCTCCATTTTGGCAATCTCAGGCTCCCCACATGCAGTAAAGGCTGTTATGGAAGGGCAGCTGAAGGTCACCCCTCCATTTCCTCATTATTAACATCCGTAAGAGGCAACTAGTGAGAAAGGCGAATGAGTCAAAGTTCATTATTCTTGTAATTAGCAGATTACACGAAAGTTCAGCAGCTTCCACAGAATAAGAGTTAAAGATTGAGTTCACTCACCTGTCCCTACAATTAGCAGCTATAAAGGTGTCACAAGGATATAAAGTGAGAGGAAGAAAAACTCCAATTTACTCACAAGGAAGGTGCAGCTCTCCTGGGAGGGGGAGACGGAGCGTTGTGGCTCATTGTCCTGCAGTTTGCAGTGTACGAAGGAGAAAGATTTAATACCCCACTTCAATTTTCTTGCAATTAGCCCCTCCCCAGAAGATGCCGTTGACCTCATCAGCTAGGAGACAGAGTTTCACAGTTAATTTTTTTTCCATACTATGCTAATGAAGGGATGGGAGAAGGGAGAATGAATGAAGAAGGAAAGAGAGAGAAAGAAAGAGATCACTTGGCTAATTTTCCAGGGGTAGAAAGCACGTGGATGCCAACAGGAGCATGGGGATGGTCTGGTCTGATGAAATCTTCACTTACCCTCACCCAGACCCAAAACATGTCCTGCGTCTCAGGCGCATGTGCTGATGCGGGGCTCATTTCTTGGGCAGAAAACTAGATATTTTTTTTTCAGTTTTCCATTTTGCTGCCCAAGGCAGGAAGAAATCTGTCTCTGTACAGAAAAAGCCATTTGGGGCTGGCAGGAAACGAAGATGTCTTTCTGCTGCGGCCGAGACTAAAAGCCCCAAAAAGGAGGTAGTAAAGTGAGATGTGTTCAAAAGACAAAAATCCAAAATAAAATAGCATTTTACAACAAAAATGCCAAACATTTACTTTGGTAATATGGGAGCGAGGCATCCTGATATTCTCGTTATGAAGAGTCTACTAATGTCTAAAAGCCTGACAAATTTAGGTAGGTTCATGAATACTTGCGATTGTTCCAAGTAAGCATTTTTTTGCTGAACAGTTTTCAGTGAGCTGCCCTTTCTGCGCTTCCACTGTCCTTCTTCAGCTGCACCTGCCCTTTTGATTTTCTTTTCTCGCCGAGGAGATGGTGTAAATCCCAGGGACTCCTTGCCACTCTGCTGTAATTATTCCTGGGAAGAAGGCTGCTTACTTTACATTTTCTTGTCATTTTCCCAGAGTGTGAAAATGTACTTAATTTAGATGCCGGGGCTGTGCCATCACCTCCAGTACCTGTTTAATAATAAATCCTTCCATACTGAGACCTGGCGCTTCTCCTGGGGTGAGGGCAGGGACCATTACCCCATCCTTATCTCCCGGTGAGCTCAGGGACAGTGCCACCCACTCACAGGGCTTCTCCGCACGCTCCTCAGTAAGAACTGGTAGGTTTTAATCTGATTTCTTCCATAAATGAGTCTTAGGCCATCTAAACTGTCCTGGGATAATTCAACACAAAACACCTGGTTATTTAAAGAAAAGTAGAATTCAAAAGTGTGCTACCGTACCTGTGTCCTCTGTCCCGCCGGGGCTACGTTTTTATTTGTGTCTCTTACGGTAGGTATTGTAAGTTAATGAAATAGAAATTGATCTTTAAAAGAGCACTTTTCTAGGTTCAGTTGCTACCTAATTAATTTAATTTTAAATTACATCAGTAATAAAGACTTAATTGCCTTCTTATCAATATATTGTATTTTGTAAAGGACATGTGACTATTTAAACATGTAATTGTTTTCTTATAGTAGAATAATTGGTATTTTAAGCATACAACTATCATATTAAGTGTAAAATATTTATTTGTGCACTTAATTTCAAGTGGTATCAAAGTCTCAATGAACATGCAAATGCTACAACAGCTGCTATTTAACTCCTAGCCTGCCTCTCCAGCAAACATAAGGACTTTTCTATGTAAGGGAGAATGGCCTGAAATAACAGGGGGTGGTGATGTAAAGCATATTCATATGGTTACCCCAATTTTTGATTATTAACATTCAATTTGCAGTCTTAGGGTATAACAAGCAGTTTAATAGACATGACAGGTTAGGATGGAGAGCTTCAACTTCTATATAACACATAGTGGGGACTTTGAACCCTCTGTACCTTCATATAAGTCTCGTTTTTGGCTACACAATGTGAAGTGGAGGTTTGTAGCAGCAGATGTGCTTATATCCATTATAAGCAGGAACACAGCTAAACACTGCCGTGTTTTCTCTGACCGGGGTCTCAGTAACCACCATAACTAAGCAGATATATCACTGTCAAGCTTTACCCGCTTCCTTTGCTTAGCATGGGAGTTGGATTTTGTAGAGTATAAGCTGCCAGGAGGAATAATTAAATATAGTACAAGTACCTTTGATTTAAAAATTGCAAGGGGAGAAATTAAATCCAGCAAAAGCCACAACACATCTGCAGAACTGTGTGGTAACTTGTCAACTAAATTAATTTTTAACTGTTCACTCCCACTATAAAAATATTATAATGTGTGATGTATTTCTTTCATATATGTCTGTGTATGTGCCTATATCTATATGTCATAAGGCAACATTTAAAAATAGCAAGCTTCTCGCTGTGAAGTAGCAAGATCAGATATTACTGAAGTGCTTTCAGATCTGTCATCACACCGCCACTATTTAGTTTTAATATATGTTGACTTGAAAATACACTATATTTATTATTTAATGTGACGCAGTAAATAATATTGGGGCCACAGTAGTGTTCGTGCTTCATATGGGGGAGCTAGACCTGCAGCCTCCGACCACCGTCACTTTGAATTATGGGGAAAGGAGGTTCCTATTAAGGCACCGAAGGCTCCAAACCTGCCGGGAGCTGCGCCAGGTCCGGGAGGTGCCTGGTCACCACGTGCTTTTCAGATGTGACCGTGCTCTTCCTGCAAACGCTGACCTTCGACAGGTATGCATTTGGAAACAGGAGATCGTGAGGTCTCACGGGAGAGCTACTATTTGGTCACAGGCATCCTGCAGGGCTTGGGGGGCTCGGAGGAGAGCGGACCCTCTCCAGGCGAGATGCTGACCTTGCTCTCACTGCTTGGGCTTCAGTGTGGCCTCAGCCCTCCTCCCGTCTGGCTCCAGGGGAGGCCCAAGGACGTCTCACTTGCCAATAAAAAGACTTTCTAGCCTCGTGGTATAAGCTGTTTATTATCCATTTAATTATCCTGTTATTTAGTGGACCACTTGAGATTAATATGTCATGGCTACATGCCTTTTCCACTCTATTATGTGTTATTTCTCTGCAAAATAAGATCGTCTGTAATCCTTGCTGTGTGTTTTAATACCTGGTTGCAAAGCTTGGTTTCAGGAAGGGTAACACAAGACGTGGAGGGGAACCGTCACGAGCTGCAGCAGCTGCTCCGGCGTCTGCGTGGGCTCTGCCTGCGCCGGGGCTGGGGTTAGCAGGTTCGGGGCTGGATAATGCTTGCCTTCAGCGGGACTGATCCCCGTATCTTTGCATTTCTCATGGAAATTGGATCTGACAAGACTTGAAAGGGTAGATGTAAAAAAAGACAAAGTAAGTCTTAGCCTCTCCTTCTCACTCATCTCAGGCATATTAAAGTTAAAAAAGGCAAACCAGCCCCCCTTTAAGACAGGAATGCAGAGTTAGCCCCATGCACATCCCTGCTGTGAACATCAGCCGCGTTCATGATGGTTTCTCCATGGCTGTATCCAGCTGTAATGGAGCCCTCAGTAGCGCCGGCGGTGAGAGCAGGAGGTGTCAGTGTGCCCGCGGCTGGGCAGGAGCTGGGCATGGCGGTCTGGGTCTCCCCCACGGTGAGTGGGTTTGGCTTTCGCAGGAACCTGCAGAGTGATGTCATGAATAATAATTCTGCAACACTGAGCTTTGATCCAAAGGACCTGCAAGAGTAGATGGAAATCTGCTGCAATCCTTCCTCAATTTTATTTCTGTTTCATGTGCTGAGAATAACTCATCTTTGTCTTTCTTTCCAGGAGGCTTATTTCTCCTGCTCATATTTCTCTTCGTGATCTGGAAGGAGTTTGCTGCTGATTTGCAGAAGTACATCCTTCTGGAGAGAAGTGAGAAGTGCATGGACGATGTACCTGTGCACGTGCATTACGGGTGGTCCTTCATGTTCGCCGCAGCAGGGGTGCCCCTGGTTTTACTTTCTGGACTCCTCTTCTACCTGGTCGGCAGAGACATTATGAAGTCCCTGGAGTAAGACAAATTTGGAGAAGGCCTTTGAGAAAGTTGGTGATGCTCCTTGTTATGAAACGTACGCAAGTTTTGAGGACTAGGTCGTTTTTGTAGCTATAATTGTCGGCATAGGTGCATGATTACACTCACTTAGATGGAGGCAGGGGGGGAGCACTGAGCATCCAACCACTGTCAGTCCAAAAGCAGCCCCAGCTGAACATCCAGCTCCAGCAGTTTTACGTTTGTGGAGAAATTTAATGTCCGGGTTTTACATTAGGTTTTTTGACCCATTTTCTCTGCAGCCCAAGAAAGAGCCTTCACTGAGAAAAGCAGCTCCCCCCATCTCCCCTGGCTGTCAGCAGAGCCCCGCATCCATATTCAGCAGAGCTGGAGTTTTATAGTGTTCCCAGCATCCTTGTTTCTTGTAAAAGGTAATCGAATCTGGATGTGACGGTGTATGCTATAATGTCTGTTTCTGAAAAGCAATTAAGGATGATTTTTTTTTTTAGCTGGCTCTAATTGACGTCAAAGGACAACCACTTTAATGGGATGTCGGGAAACATGAGAAACTTTTTTTCATTAAAAGCCCTGATTCTGAAGATACAAATGTACCTGGACCTAACCTAACTTTCAATAAGTGAATAAACCAATTTCTGTGGCATGAAACCTAACATGAATTAATTAGTATTTCTTTACAGCACCACATTACTCTGCATTTAATATTTTCCCCGGATGCAATGTTGTGGTGATTCTCAACCCAAAAACTGAAAGATGGTGAGACTTGCAGGTAAGGGAGGGGGAAAAATAGCACTCTTATTTTTAATTTTGCTTGTTATGGTAGACCATGGAATCTTGCTGTATTCTACAGTTGTAGCAGAAGAGTCAGCTCCAAAGAGACAAATTATATACCATTCTGACGCTTTTAAATTCTTGCAATGGCTCAGGTGTGTGTTGGCTGACAGATTGCAGTGGTCCTACGAAGAGTTAAGTGTGCTAATTCTACACCAAACTATCGCAGTATTGAGGTGAAGTAATTTATACTCTATATGCGGAGGTTTGTAAAGACACTTGAGAAATGACAAAGATTTGAGCTTGTCATGTTTTTCAGGCTGGATTTTGATGCTTTGAAGGAGTTTGTTGGAGCCTTGCTTGCTGGAGTAATTTGCATAAATTTTAAATCAAAATTCCTAAAAATGCACACTTTTCTTGTGAATGTCATGGTTTGTGCTAAACACATATCTCCCAAGCTTCATGTCATACTATTGACTCAGTGTAGTTAATTAATAAGGTAATGTAAATCTCTTCTAGAAAGCAGTGAAGATTGTTGGCAGTATAAAAATATTTGTTAATGCTCTTCCTAAAATACTGTTCAAGTCTGGCATTTCTTTCCTTTTGGAGCAAGTTCTAATTATTCTTTTACAAGATTCATGGCATACATAGAGTGAGAAATTGTAATTCCCACATGTAAAGATTAGTTCTTTCATACAAATAACAGGCTTGGTCTACAGTGCTTAAGCAAAATTCCCTTTTCCATTAATAGAAGTTTTGTTTGAATGGAATTGGTATATACAGGTAAAAGTAATGTGGTTTTTTTTTTTTCCCAGGGAATAGGTGTTTCATGACATTTACAAATACACAGATATTTCAGGGTTTTATTTGGCCATTCTAAACTGTTTTTTTTTCACGGTATCTCCTTGGGTTGTGCCTGTGCCCCATCAGTTCTTCAAGTGATAATTTCTCACTATAAATTCCCTTTGAATAATTTTTGTCATTTAATTATCTATTCAGTGTAGAGATGAACACTTATGGTCACAAAGAATAAAAGTATATAATCCAGGAGCAGAAGAGGTCAAGATTTACAGTCACTTGCCTTTCCCTGATCCCATAAAACAATCCAAGCATGCAGAAATGATGATCCCATAAGAGACACCAGGGCAGAAGAATGAGAATGCAGCAAGAAATCCATCAGACTTATTGATATCTATGAAGCTGAGGATCCCTGAAGTTGTGAATATAGAAGTGAGTTTTATATTATAGAATGAAATATTTATTAACTTTCTCCATCTGTTCTTTAAAAAATTTAGTTTAATGTCATCAAGGCATTTATGGAATACATTTAGCTTAATCATGCATTCATGCCTTAGAGAGTAAACCATCCCTGGAGACTTGCTCATTCTGGATCAGCTCTAGAACAAGCAATAGTTTAAAACTCCATCATTCTTTTGAAAAACACATGACTTTGAATCATTCTTGAATGGAGGTATTTTAAAAAAAACACTCTGCTATTGAGCATACTGTAGTAGTCACAATGATAGGGATACAGAGAATAAGATTATAGACTAGCATAACTAAATTAATTACCTCCTCTGTTAAAACACAACATTTGTAGCCACCACGTGTTAACCAAACACATCCTTTTGGTGGACTAAAGAGATTAATTCCTTTGCTCTCAAGTTTCTTGTGGCAAATATAACTCAAGCAGACAAAATTTTGTGTGATAATCATCGTTTCTGGAGGAGAAATTTTTTAAAAAAACAGGCTAATGGACTCAGTGGTTTGAAATTGCAGAAACCACAGTCTCTTTCATCTGTTGAATGTGAAGAAGTTTGATGAAAGGATATTACAGAGTAGTGACAAGGACCTAATTCTGATCCGAGTTTTGTCATTATAAATCATGAGTAATTCCAAAGACTGCAGTAGACCCTTATCACTGTTAAACATCTGTAAGTCAGATCAGAACTGGGACTAATAAATACATTCAAAAATGCATAATTAAAACAGTGATTTCACATCACTCTGATGAATTTTAGTCAAGGATTTCTTCAAGGATGCTTTTCTCACATTAGCATTTGACGTTAGTAAGCAATGAATAATTCCATTTTTTCTTTCCAACATCTGGGACACTTCCTGCTTTATTTGCTACTTACTGAACACTCTGCAGGAAATATTAATGAATCTTGGGTGTTAAAATACAGGCCCTGTGGATCATGCTCAGGGGGCAGTGTTATGTAGCAGAGGCTATGTGTCTTGAGATTAAAAGGCTGGATTTTGGTGAAGTAAGATGTTGGGAGATTTGCCAAACCTGTGGGAGATATGGGGATTTGGGGAAGTTACCCAAAAATCGAGCCCCTACAGCTTCTTCATTCAGCGGTTCCTTCATACCAGGGAGGCAAAAATCAATGTTTTTTCCCTTGGTCAGACCAACTTTTTTGCTGATGAGTCAGAAAACTAGTACCCAAGGAGCCACCAAGGCAAGGAAGGTGCTGGGTGATGGGCAGCGATGCGGAAGAGAGATGGACCAGGAGACCACCATGCCGTGAAAGCATCACTGCCGTGCCCAGCTGCTTTCTCACACCATCAGAGGCATGGAGATTTTTCTCTTTCTTGGTGAGTTATTGGTAAAATTCCATGTTTGGAGAAGTTTGCTGGCTCTTCAGAGCAACCTGCAGGGGAGAACTGGACTGAGCATCAGACTCAGGCTTCCAAAGGAGGAAAGAAATGTGCTTCTTTGTTCATGTGAAATGACCCTGGCAGTTCAATATCTGACCAGGAGGGTGAAAGCACCCTCTGCTGTGGAAAACAAGTTAACTGGAACTTAACTAAAATTCATTCCAGCTAGGTGTATAACAGCCCCTCTGGGATTGCTTGGAGGATGCAGCAGGACTTACAAAACTTTCTACTTTTTCTTTTTGCCAAGAAAAATCCATCTTACCTGGAGAGGTAGTGCTTTCACCTTGGTTAGACATATTTCTACTGCCTTGGTGGACTCGCGTAACAAAACGTGGAGGTCTTTCAGAACAAGTATCTCCATCTGAGCTGCCCCAAGGTTTCCTACATCAACTGAGCATCACCAACACTCAAGGACCACTCATCCTTGCAGCCAGCCTGTGCAATGCAGCAGAAAAGTGAGGTGCTCAGGCTTTACATCCCTATGGAAGGGAAAATATCCAAGGAAGATTCCCATGGCCCCCTCTCCTGGGGCTCCCATTGGGCAGCCCAGCCTTCATCCTGCTGAGTCAGCACCTTCTGAAGTGCCTCTTGTCACTCATCCTGAGCAAATACTGCCCGGGGAAATGCTGGTGGGAGAGGGCACAGATGCAGTGCAGCAAATTAAGACACAAACAAAATCAAAATAAGTAAGAAAATATAAGCTAGCTCCATGCTTTGTGCACTGGGCTGTACATTACCGCAGGATTAAGTCATATCAGCCAGAGTACATTTTACAAGAGTGCACAGCACCTCAATCCTATAATCAATAAGCTGTACATGCTGCAGCACAAAGAGCTCTTATCTGGAATACCGCTTTGAATTTAGTGAATTTATTTAATCCCTGATGCCTGCAGAGCATCAGTCCTGTCTTCTGGGTTAATTTATTTATTCCGGTGATCTATTTTTAGTCCTTAATGTACTTGACATTTGAGAAAGAGATTTTTTTTTCCTACTTGCTAAAAAACATCTGAATTGGAAAAACTTTATTTACAGAAATGTATTTGTTTCCTAATTCATTCCCTAGTCTTTCTCTTGGGAGTCAAAGCCCTGTTATCAATACTAATAACCATACATGGAATGGATCAAGGAACGCTCCTTTTCACCTTGCTTGGCAAAGCCTGTTTGTAAATCAATGCTGCACATTCAGTGATCTTCGCTCTTTCTTCTCATCTTTGTTTTCCCTGTGAATATCCTCTCCTCTTGGAAAAAAAAAAAAATAAAAAAATAGTCACCTATTTTTGAGCTATATCCAAGGTGCTGTGCTGCATCTAGTTTGGGAATTGTCATGAGCGCAGGGGATGCTCTTCTGGAACTTGATCTTTCAAGGCATCATTCCATCACATGAACCCTTGGCTGAACCCAAGAGAACCAGTGGTTTAAGCAGTGTGACTACATAAATGCTTGCTGTTAAAAAGAAATAACAAACAAAAAAATAGTCTACAGCCACTGCTATGATGGTGTCGTAGTGATTATTAGCAGAGCTGTAAAGAATGCACTCTAATTAACCCAACCAGTAGGTACTAAACATTTGGTTAT